AAGTTTGCATTTTATCACCTTATGTATGAATGCAGACTGTATTATTTGACATGTTTCTACACCATGCCTTTTATCTTTAATACTGTCTATGTGCAAAGTGCAAGAGTGGCTGTTTGCAGATCCTGACCTCTTGCCAGGTGAGATGCTGCCAGTGGTTTGGTGCAGGCTGGTGAGGAGTCATGTTGCCGAGCTGCTTGTGGCTTCACAAGTGACTGGTACAACAACAGGAATACATGAATTAAGTTTGTGTGCAGTCTGCACTAAGGGTTTGCACAAGTGGATGTGCGGAATAAACTGAAGAAGTGTAATCCTCTGTCTGTGGTCTGGAGATGGTCATTTAACTTCTTTGAATTTCTGTGTCTCTTCTGATGGGTAACACACCTCCTAGGCCTGCAAGCATTTGAAAATGTGTAATAACAATCCTTGCTTTTATACAGCCATGCACTACCAACTTTCCTGGATACCAGCTTTTCTGCGCTTGCAGTCAAGTGTTCCAAACATAACGTCTCACTGGCTGCACTGGACCATCCAGAGCTTGCTGGCAGAGGGTGATTTATGCTTTTGGTAGGAAGGAAGTCGTTACTCCGTGGAGCTCTTGGTTCTAAATGGTGGAGAGGTGACGCTTGCCTCATTCTCAGAATAAACTGTTAGAGGAAGAAATTAAACGCATTTGATTGCCACCTTCCCATCAAAGAGACAAGCGTATATAAACACCTTTGGAAACATTCCAAGGTAGAAGAGAGCGGAATTTGCTTGGACTTGTTTGCCCAGCTGCTGTCCTCCCCGAGGTGCCACTTTGTCCAGCTGGGAGGAAGGTTCTCCTCACGGCTTCACTTTCCAATGCCTCAACCCTTGGAGGTGCCAGGGGATGTGAACATAAGTCCTGCAGTCACAGTGCGAGACTTAATGGATCTGGCACCTCAGATGATGTTTTCTCAATGGGAAAAAATGAGAATTTATAGTGGGCTTATACAAGTCAATAGTTTATGACAGATATGTTGAAGTACTCTGCGTACCTCCTGCGTTCCTACTTTGTGGGCTCTGGCTTGTACAAGACTTGTGATTTAACAGTAGTCAGCAAATACTTACTTGTGGCTCAGGAATATGTCTTATATGTAATACAGGAAGATCTCTTTCAGTTGTAAACTCAAGACTTTCTTCCTTTTCCCCCAAATTGTCAAGGAAGCAATTTTTGAGATTTATTGCTGTGTTGATGGTTTTTGGCCTTGGAATGATTCTTTGCTATTTGGTTTGAGATAGTGTGACAATTTTTTTCCTTGCCTTTGGGAGAAGAAGTGGTGGTCTTCAGTTCTTTGATAAGTTTATGAAAAGTAGCAAGTTAAAAAAATCTTTATTGGTTTTTAGTTTGGTTTGTTGTTTTAGTTTTTTTTGGTTACAATATAATGAAGGTCTAATTTTAATTAGAGGTAGATGTGAATTTGAAAACTATGACAAACTATCTGCTATAAGGAATGCTATTTTGATTTAAAGTCGGCTTGTCTTTAACAAAAGGAATCGTTCTAAGGTTAAATCAGAGGTGCTTCCCCCCCCACACCTGTGACAGATAGTAAGATAAGTTTTATATTTCCAAAAGAAGGCACTGTCCTTAAGAGGAAGGGAAATGTCTCTCTGTGAAAGAAATGAAATGATCCATAATTTCTAGTCCTAGCTTTTTTATTGTAAGGAAATTGCCTGCTACTCTTTACAAGCTTTTGCTACTGCTCCGGGTACCTGGAAGATGCTGGTTCTGCCACCTTTCGCTCAGCTGTCTCTTAAGTAGGCTCATATGACCAGATTAGTTTAACCAAATAAATGGTCTCAATATTTCTTTTTATTTTCCTTTTTTTTCCCCTTTCCTTTCTCCCCTGGAAAATGTAACAAGCTACAAGTTGGTAGGGTTTTTTTTAATTTAAAAAACACATGGAGGACATCTGCTATGGCTTGTGTTGTATGGAAGATCCTACTGCCCTCTGTTCCTGCAGCCCTACAGTACAAATCCCTGACATTCTTGCGCTGTTCTGTCTTGCTTGTCTACTCATCTATAAACCTCTCGGCCCCTTCAGGGGAAGGGGGATAAAATCTGAATCTGCTAAGTAAATTTTGTTAGGGAAAAAGATAAAGGAGAATATGGTGTCATGAGACTTGTGCTGTTAGCTTTTAGGTGTCTAAGGTTATCACCTATGGTACACACAATCCTTTCAACACGCCATGGTTGCATTTCTGTTCTTTCTTCTGTTTTCTCTGAGCTGCCCAGGTGAGCAGATGCTAGCCCTTGCTGGGAAGGCAGGGACAGCCAGCTCTGCTGTGCCTCCAGCCCTCGCAGCGCAAGGCTGGGGTAGGAGAACGTGCAGTTCTTCGGTCCGGGTGAAGCTGGGTTAACTCACTGTTTGTGGTCAGCAGAAACTATTTAGAGAAGTGGGAAATAAGATCTGGCCGTGAATAGGGTAACTTTCTCTCCAGCTTTGGGCAGCCAGTGATTTAGGAATTGCTTGCAGGCTGGACCACGTGTAGCACAAAATCAGCCAAAGCCTGGCCTTCAAGGACCAGCTCTTCACAAAAACCTCTGCCTGAACCGAATGCTTTAAACAGGGTACTGCCAGACGTTTGTCGTTTCAGAAATAAGTAGCACCACTGAGGGCTCTGCTGCTCCGAGAGGCTGGTTTGTCAGTGCTGGGCGCTGGGTCTCCGAGCCCTGCCGGAGGGACTGAGCTGGCAGCCTTCCGTGGCATCAGTCTCGAGCTGTGACTTCTTGTGCAGGGAGAAAGGGCACACAATGCCGTTTTCTCCTTCAGCCGAGCTAATTCCCGCATTTTCCTTTTTCCTATTTGATGTACAGGTTTTATTTGTCATTCTCCAGCATTCTCTTTGCTTATCTGCAGTGCTGCAGCCTTGAATAACACCGTGTCCTTCCTAGAGATGTTAACTAGAGGTTGCTTTCCCAATTATTGATTTAATGAACAACAACTGGAGAAATACTTGATAGCTGGTTCATTTGAAAGCAGCAGCACGCCTTGGTGACAGAGAACATTTTATGCATTAGCAGTGCACTCCCTTTGGCCCAATGTACCTTCTCGTGCCTTCAGGTCTTTGTTGTTAAACCCCTGGGGTAGAGTGGTGGCAGCAAATGGGCCCATAATTAGGCCAGACAAGGTGGGAAGGGAGTGTCAAATGGCAGAAGAGAAATGGAGTTTATGTCCAGAGCTGGGTCAGAAGGACTGGTAATTTGCATTCAGAGTTGACAAATCGTTTTTAATCCTTTTTTTTTTTTTCTTCTATTCAATTTTCTGTCGTAATTACAAGCCAAAATGACCATTACCGGGCACCTCTGCTCATCAGCTTTATGGATTGGTGTCAGCTTTAGCTCTGGAAATAATGTGTTTTAGGTGCTGTCGTGACTGCAAGAAGACACTAGTAACTGTGATTCCAAGACACTGAAACAGTGGATAATAGAAGTGGGTAACTGTGGTGCTGTTTAAAGCAGGTATCAATAAAGAAGTCTGGAGACATGAATTCTGCTCCCCTTTCTGTCCCCGTGTTTTCTCTTTGGCCAGGAGAAATCAGTGCGCCTTTTTGTCATCGTGTGATTCAGCTCTTCTAAAGCGACATCAGAGCCTCCTGACATGTACTCTTGCATTTGGTACCCATAGAAAATGTTCAGTGTCTTTCCCACAGAATAGGATGAATATATTTTAATACTGGGACTTCTGAATTTCAACCACTGACTACACCAGTGGTAGCTGATGTTGCAGTCTGTAGCTGTGCAAAAGCAAGGGCAGTTGTCCTGCTTTGGGCCCGTGTCTTTGATTGGGCTCCGTTCCTCTACTCAAAAACCTCGTTCAACGTTTCTAAATTTAGATCCCTCCAGTAAAGAGAAGTCCATTTTCTCTCCAAAGTTGAGAAATTGCCCACAACAATGAGAAAGCGCTGAAAGCATTAGGTCATTCTGGTTGCATCTGTTTCTAAGCATAACAAAGCTTCTCCCAATGGCTGCAGAAGGGTGCTGCAGTGGTATCGGTATCGCAGGGCACGAAAGCACAGGTGTCTGCCTGGGTGATTTAACAGACCTAATGCTACACTTCTGTTAGCCTGATGTCATTCTTTGAGATCATCAACAGAAAGCGTGAGCTGATTCACCCTCTTGGGGCGGAGCTAAATCTGAAACTCAACTTGCCCAAGGAGGCTCAGGTCTCTCTGTGGCAGGAATGGCCGCGGCGGCGGCTGCTGATCGCAGTGTCCCAAGACGCTTGTGCCGGCCGTGCAGATCACAGTTGGTTTGAATTGCATGTGGCAATTTGATTTCTCCTCAAAGAGTGAGCCAACATTAAAGTGGGCTCAAGTGGAGGGTGTTAAGTGAGCTCAAGTGAAAGACATTAATTTTAACATATAGCATATCTCAAATTTCCAACTCTGTATGAGTATGGAGACCTCATGTGTGAAAGTATTGTTTCAGGTTTAGATACAGTCTCGAAAGGGATAAAATGTCTGCATTAATGAGCCATTTGGGGCTAGTTCTCTTTACACAAAATGTGACTGATTGAACAGCTTTTTCTCAGTTACAAACATTTAGGATTGAACACAGCAGTCTGTGTGTGTGTGATATGAGTTCGTGTATTTACATACAGCCACACTGTGGTAGACATGCTAATGTATACATTCACACTATTGCACACTTACGTGTTACCAATATGGGTTTTTTCTTAACTACTACCTATGCCATCTCAAGAGAGCTGTGTATAATAGAGCTGACCTTGGAAAAGATACCAAGGGTAATAATATACACTGTGGTTAGTGTTTGTGCACTTTCTGGGCATATCTGAAGCACAAGCAGTATGTAAATATGGAAGAATGGGGTCTTGGAATAATTAATTTTAAAAGCAAAACATATCAAACATTAAGTTGCTTTTTTTATGAATAAGGATCTCACAAGGAAAGGGTAAAGTTAGTGGTGAATTAAGTTGGATTTTTTTAGTTGATATTTGTTTAATTTTGTGTTATTGCAGAAACTGGAACACAAAGAAGTTTTGGTTGGCTTGTTGTTCCTGGTTTTCCCATTCATCCCAGCCAGCAACCTCTTCTTCAGGGTGGGATTTGTGGTGGCAGAGCGAGTCCTTTACATGCCGAGGTAACTATTGCAATTGAATTCCTTTCTAATGAGACCACCATCCCATTTTCTAAAAGCAGGCACGATTGCTTCTTCCCTTTTACAATAGTTCAAACATTATATTGCTAGTCAGTGTGTTCTCTGCCTTTGAGTTTTGGCATGATAGCATGAGAGATTTTATAGTCGGTTGAGAGCAGATTGCTTGGCAGGAGCAAAGCTACCCAAAATATTTTTATTTTTTTTTAACACAGAATTTGTGGTATTCTTGAAACAGCTCAATAGAGAGATGAGGTATTGTTTCTTGAGGATTGTCCTGCAAGACTCTCTTTCTCGGTAGCATCAATTTAGATTGTCCAGTGTCTTTACCTTAAGGACAGAAGCTGAAAAGTTAACCTGTCATATTTTTATTGTGGTATTGCTCAGCTTTCCCACTATATTAGGTGGTCAGTAAAACCAACGGTGACTATTGTCATCTTAAAAGGCTGCTGGCTTCAGTTGTGGAATATGTGCATGACCTCCTGCCTGTAAGCTATTGACTGCAGGATTTGCAGTTGTTGAAGAGGATGAGGAAAATCCAGCCACTTCTCCATCCCTCAGCCTCTGCCCTGGGATTTTCCTCAGCTTCCAGCCTCTAACAATTGTCACTTCAGCAGTCTGGGTGTTTCCGATTGCATTTACTCAAGGACAGCTTTGAGGTGTTACTTCTGACATCTCCACGGTATCCAGACCAGAGGCTGCAGTGGCAGTCGGAGGGCATTCATCCAAGATGCACCAGACCCTTGCCCGTTTCACAGAATCACAGGATGGTTGAGGTTGGAAAGGACTTCTGAAGGTCAACTGGTCCAACCCCCCCTGCTCAAGCAGGGCCACCCACAGCTAGTTGCCTGGGACCGTGTACAGACAGCTGTAGAGTATCTCTAAGGAGGGAGATTCCACAGCCTCTCTGGGCAACCTGTGCCAGTGCGGTTTGTTCCAGCCATGAACATAAATGGTTGTTCTTGGATGCTACAAGTCAGAAAGCCCAGTTCTACCCTCGAGTGCAGAGGGTCAGCATCTGTTACCTGTAATGGCAACTGCCATTGTGGAGCTATTGACAAAGCACAAGTCCTCAATTTCACTCTGGATTACTTTGTGATAACTGAAACAATAGTTTTATTCCACAAAATGTTTAAATTGTATTCCTCAGAAAATGTGGATCCAAAAATCCTAAGAAAAACACTTATAGGTGATCTTTTGCAAAGCTGTATGCATGTTCTGATCATCATTTGCATAAGCACTATCACAGAAGGGCTGCTCATTGGTGTAAAACTCAGGCTGTGTAGGAACTGTTGCATTTATTACAAGCTTCTTATGCAGTTAGGTTATATTTCTGTGCTCTGCTATATACTGACTTGCTTTTTGGGTCAAATCCTGCTGACTTTATTCATATCACTAGCCCTGCTTTTGTTTGCTGAGAGTATACCTGAAAGTATAGTGAGTGAAAGTTGTCCCTCGGAGTTATTTTGCAAATGATACCCTCAACTAATGGATCTTGCATCATTTCAAATTAACTTGGAAATCAGATTGCTTTAAATTCATGTAACAGAAAATGAGGAAACACATGAAAGCGCAAAGCTATTAAGGAAACAGTCAGCTGAACACAGGGCTGTGTTGAGTGGTTGCATTTCTGAATCTCAAAAGAACAACTGCGGAAAATACTTCAGCCGTCAGCAGTTCCTCGTCCTCCTCCAGATGAGACTGCTGATATAATGAGAGGAGGGGCAATGAAGAAGAAAAAAGGGTATGTTTGCACAGAGAAAATTAATCAGCGTTAACATGTGTGCATATAGTTTGTATAATGCTTTTCATCTCCCCGAGGGCTTTGCAAATATATGACCTACAAAGTAGGTAATTGATAGTTGCTGCTTTTTTTCAGGCAGGAAAACTGAGGCTGAAGGATTAACTGATTTCTCTGGAGTAAGTCTGTGCCGGAGTCCCTGGATCTCGTAGTTTGCTCAGACCGCTCACGTCCTGCTTTGCAATATTTGGTTTTTGCTCTTACACCAGGCTGGCAGGCAGCTGTCATGAAAAGGGAAGGCAAGCCCTGGCAGCTTGCAGGAGAGGTGGGCAGTCCCCGGCCAAAGGATCTGGAGAGAGCTGAGCTCTTGGCTCCGAGTTACCAAGAGACGAGCTCTTCTGCATCCTCTGGGTGCAAAATGGCATGAGTGGTGAGGGGGACTTCTGCAAACATTCACGACTCTGGCAGAACAAAAATAACGTTGGTTTGTTTTGTGGGTTTGGTTTTGGGTTTTTTTCCCTTGGGAGCATGGCAGTTTAATAGCCATGGCTCTAGGAAGGGCTTGTGTTCTTTATTTAGAACAGCCTTTAGCAATTTTCTTACGTTACGTCTTGAAAAGGGCTTTTCCTATCCTTTACCATTCCTTCCCTAAAACTCAGCGAGTCAGAGGTGGTCATTCGGCTTTATTTAGACAAAAATACTGAATCAGATGGAGAGAACCTGGTGATCTATGGTTTTGGGCTTATGCTGGAAGGTGCTTTTCTACCTCTGTTTCAAGTAATAACCTTTTATCAATATTTATGGATGTGACAGTCACATGTGTGTGTCACAGCCTGAAGTCCTAATTCATTGTTGCTCAGTAGTTACCTGGGCAAAATGTCAAGTATTTTCTTTTCAGTAAAAGTTAAGTAAGGATCCGAGGATTTATGTAAAAGATGTTGTAAGCAGAAAGGAGCAAGGAATAAGCCTTTTGCTCGATGTCTAATTACATGACTGGCCTTGCCTTTGGAGTATTGATGGGTATTTGGAACAATTGTCTGCAGCTGTGCCTCGGGGTGTGGAATATAAGCTAAGTCAAAACTGGTTGAATGTTTTCTTTAATTTACTTTAGAAAAACAAATATTTGGAGAAAATATTTCTTGTATTTAGTTTTCATTTCAGGTTACAAACACTTAGTTGTTTAAAACAGAAATTTTTAAAAGTACTTTAGCCTGAAAAATTTTGTAGGAAAACAATTTATTGTCTTTCATATTTTAATTTTTACATTGTTTTCCTATCCTGAAGAGGGGAAAACTTGTTTTCAGGAGAGCTAGGGGTGTAAAATAGGTATCCTGGGAGTGGTGGACAAGATACAACTCTACGCTACAATTTTCAAAAGAGACATCACAATAAATGGCTGGATCAGTGAAAGACTCAAACCACTGCGGGTTTTTCTGTCTTCAAAATGTAGATGCAACTACGCTTCTTGCGTATGTCCCAGTGCTGCTCTGAACACCACAGACAGCCTAATGGTTTGAAAATCCAGAACGACTATGTGCGTCCAGTTATTCTGAGCAATTTGTCTGTACTTAAACCAGAGCACTAGCTCTTCCCTTCACATGGAGCAGCTGGGGAAGCTGCAAACTCTTGGGCCATTCAGGAGCTGCCTGCCCTACTGATGTACTAGCAGAGCTGGGGCTGCCCTCATCTCATGGGATTAGACCTTTCCCAGCGAAACAATTTCTACATTTTTCCTCTTCTTTCACTGCTACCCAGATACCAGTGGCTCCTGGCTGGCCTGCTGTATTATAAAGCTGGACAACTTCAGCTGTTTTCACAACCTCATGTGAACCAACCAATCAACCAAAATATTGCTACATGGCTTATTTCCAATTTGAACAGCCACCTTGCTGAAAGTGATAGGCAACCCAGAGGTACCTCCCCCCCATTTTTATGGCAACTTATTCGTGGTGGATATTGCAATTAGTGGGTTGCAGAGTTTTTCTGAGAGAATTATGGGTTGCCATCATTTTTTTTCCACCAGTTTCTTACTGTATCAAGAGTCGATGTTGCAACCCTAATTGTCAATACTAGAAGATGAGATCACTGCTGTATACAGGATGGCATTTGCTTCAGTGTCTATCTCAAAATCTGCAAGAAAGCCAGCATCCAGGAAAAAAGTGCGCTTGTATTTTTCAGGAAGCTAACACATCGTGTTAAAGGTTTCCCATGGCACAGCAAAGCAGGGACCATATGGAAGTTTTGCCTTGGCATAGAGCATGTTTTTGATTCTTTGTGCTAATGCATTCATCCCAATTAGCGTACTACCATACATTGTTATCTTCTGTAATTGGAAAAGAAAAGAACCTGGTAGGTAGTGGGATTATCTGTAATTTTAATGAATCTGAATATCCCTGAGCAGAAGTCCCCTTTGCTTACAAGGTAGCCACGTGAGGATGGGACTTACTGGTGCTTCTCTTTTCTGGGAGCATGTCATGCTCTCCACTTTATCTTTGTTTTCTTAAAGACCAATTGCATAATGTGATGCTGTATTTTCAGTTTCCTTTGCCACCCCTTTCTTTAAGGTTATTTGAAGCTACAGGTTCACCAGGAGCTGAATTCCTGCTTACCTATTCAGCATTCTTTCAGTATTAGATCAGATCCCATAAGGGATCATCTGATTTACGGAAGAAGCTTCTCTTTTCAACTGGAGTCAAACCCCAACCCCAGCAAAGTCAGCCCCATGGACTCAGTGGAGCTAGTTTATCTGCTCCCTGATCTGAATTCAGCAACATAAATAAGCTTTTTGCCTGCTTTAAAGTTAAATCCACAATTCATTTGGGATTTGGTTATGGAATCCAAGTCACACCTGTTCCATTTACTTAAAAAACTCATGATTTTAATGCCTTACTCTACTGCTGCTGTTCTTGTACGGGCCACCGAGTTTCCAAAGTTTAGAAGGAGCAAACTGGATTGTGTTCCTTGTATTTTGGCTGTGGACCTGAGGGCGCTGGGAGGGGACTGGGAAGGTATTGCACGATGGCAGTGGGTCAGACCCCAGCCCCAGCCTGGTCCCTCTTTACCGTGAGGGGTGCCTGCTCCATGGCGTTGATTAGAGCAGCAGTCTGCAAAATGGCTCGTGGCTGGAGGTGAGGAGGCGACCTCGGCTGAGGCAAGCGACTCCGGTTCTGCTTCCCCATCTATTAAAATAGGGATAACAACTCCACTCTGCCCTTCGGAAGGGGTGCAGAGAGCATTCTCATTA